TTTTCTGAGCATGTTTGGATACTGAGCTCCACTGGAGGTGTCCTGCCCACAGCAGCTGGAACTGATCCCTTTAAGGCCCCATCCCAAACCAGTCTGTGATTCCAGCAGTACTGGTTTGGGGCCAGAATGTGTCAGTCAGGACCAGCCAGCTCCAGTGACATCCAGCTCCCAGGGAGAGCAGCTGCACTGCAGCATTCCTGCCAAAGTGAGGAAGAGAAAATAAACAGGCTCCTTTCCTTCAGCCATCCAGGGAGAGTTCGGGGGTTGTGCAATTGGAAACATTGGCAGAACCTACAAATGTCAAAATCCTGAAAGAAGAGCTCAAGAAGAAAGAATCCCAGCAGCCTTATCTGCACAAGGAGCCCAGCACAACACCTGCATGAGGAACACTGGGCCAGAAGCAGATCAAAACTGGGATTTCACATGTCTGCACAGATGGCACCTGCTGCTCAGGAGCTGCCTTGTTTATCGTGCCCAGCCACCAGGGCCTGCAGCTCCACCTCAGTGTCACACACTGAACAACCTGCAAGGTGTGGGGGGTAAAACAAGCACAGACAGGCCTGACTGCAGGGTTTGGGAGCTGGGGTGGCACAGGACCAGCAGGGCAATATTGGGAGTGGCAAGGAGGGAGGGAAGATCCCTCTCACAGCCAAGTCAAGGCTGCAGCAGCCCAGGCACAGGAGCTGGAAAATCACCAAAAAGAAATCTTCTTTCAGCAGCAGTTCTGGTTTAAGTCAAGCTTAATGTCCTGGGATGAGCCTCAAACTGAGCCTTAAATCTTCCAACTTAAACCTTCCAGTTTCCAGGGGAGGCTGAGGACAGCCAGCTGCATTCCATATGGGAGAGTCCAACACCTGCCAGCACCTCACCCAGAGCAGGGAAATAAATGAATCAAAGCTGAAAGCCCTGAGCTCAGTGCCCTGGGAAGCTGTTTCCTTGCACTCAGGCTGTAGCCAGAAGGAAAATCAGCACTGTAGCACTCGTTGTCATCAGGCTGCAGTGCCAGACCCCTCTGAAGTGACAGGTGACAGTGACAGGATGATGAGTTAGAGACACAGGGAACAGTGCCACTTTCTCTGTGTCTCTACACTAATGGACTGATTTATCAATTATTGATAAATCTGTACTACCTCATTTATCAGTTCCTGCACTCTCCAGTTCACACCTGCTGGATTTCCCTGATTCAGCCTATTCCTCATCCAGGCTGCTGCCAAAAAATCCTGAATGAGGGCATCTGGAAGAGAAACTGGGAAATGCTCTGTGGAGCAATGCTGGGAACAAAGCCCCTCATCCTGTTTGCTGTTTAGATGTACCTCAGGATGTGTGTGGGGACAGAGGGACAAGCACAGGCAGGGCAATGTCCCTCCCAGCACAGTCCCATGCAGGACTCCATGCACACCACTGGGAAACAGACACAAGCAGGAGGTTTTCCTTCCCAGGCACTGCCCTGCTCTGAAGCAAAGCAGAAGCTGCACATCAAAGGTGCCATTTGCTGCCTCCTTCCCAGCCAGGAAAGCCCAGGATGAGGAAAGCCCATCCAGAGCACCCACAAACCCTTTGGAACAGACTCTCAAATGCAAACTGCACAGGATGCCCAGTGGCCAGTGCTCACAGCCTTCAAGCCCTCCCCAAACCCTTTAAATGCCCCCATGAAATACCTGCATTATTAAAACCTGAAGATTATGAAAGACAGAAAGGGGCACTCAGAGAGAGGAATTTGGCTGGTTTTGCATGGAAATATTATCACAGAATCCCAGAATGGTTTGGGTGGGAAGGGACCTTCAGGCCCACATCACTGCACCCCCTGCCATGGTAGGGACAGCTTCCACTGGCTCAGGCTGCTCAGGGAATCTCACTGGGATGCAGGGGATGGAATGGGTGTTATTGGCAGCCTGGGGTAAGGTTTCAGTCCCAGAGGAAGTACAGCTCCCATGGGACAATTTAGCAGGGTGGAAAACAAAAAAGCTCAAAGCAAAACCTCCCTGTCCTCCCACTGCAGGCACTCTCACGTCACTGCTGGCATTTCTGCTGAACCTCCCCAGTCCCACCCTGCACTCCCCCAGCCTGGCACACACCTCTCTTGGAGCCCAGGCAGGAGGGAGTGAGTAGTGCTAGAGGAGCTCAAATCCAGCACAGCTCCTTTCCTCCAGGAATTCACCACAAAGTCACTTCTCTGAGGAAAGGGGAGACTTTCCTGACCAATTGAAGTCATTGAGTTGAGGACAGGTTGTCCTGCCTGGAGCAAAGGAGGCTCAGGGGGCCCTTGTGGCTCTGCACAGCTCCTGACAGGAGGGCACAGCCGGGGGGTCGGGCTGTGCTCCAGGGAACAGGGACAGGAGCAGAGGGAACGGCCTCAGGCTGGGCCAGGGCAGCTCAGGGGGGACAGCAGCAGGAATTTCCCCATGGAAAGGGGGCTCAGCACTGCCAGGGGCTGCCCAGGGAGGTTTGCAGTGCCCATCCCTGGAGGTGCCCAAGGAAGGGCTGGAGGTGACACTCAGAGCTCTGGGCTGGGGACAAGGTGGGGATGGGGCACAGCTTGGACTGGATTGGCTGGGAGGTTTTTCTGACCTCTGTGGGTTTTGTTCTGGACATTTTGCCACCTGGGATGGTCTGCAGCCCCTCAGCACAGCTCTCAGGGTTGTGCAGAGAGTGCAGGGACTGTGACACAGCTCCTGGTAGGGACACTTGTGCTTGTAGAAGTTCAACTGACCTGCTCTGCTCTCAAAAATAACAGAATTGCTCAATTATGGACATAATTCATTCATGTCCAGGAGCTTGAGAAGACTGGATGTGTGTCTGGCACTGGTTAGCTGGCAAAGCACATCCAGAGCCCCTGGATACTGGAATGTGCCCCAGCAATACAGACAGCCCACATCCCCCCAGAGCACAGCTGGCTGTGTCCCACAGAGCCCAGGGGGGCCTCACCTCCAGCAGAAGACACACTTGTTGGCACAGGCCAGGCTGGGGGTGGCCTCCATGCAGCGGTGGCTCTCGATGCCATAGAAGGTGTGCTTGTAGCAGCCCCCGCGGCCCCGCAGCATGGCCTGAGGGAGGGAAACACACAGGGATGTCAGAAACCCTGCTGGGGGCAGGGAAACACACAGGGAGGGTTAGAAACCCAACTGAGGGCAGGGAAACACACAGGGAGGGTCAGAAACCCAACTGGGGGCAGGGAAACACACAGGGAGGGTTAGAAACCCAACTGAGGGCAGGGAAACACACAGGGAGGGTTAGAAACCCAACTGAGGGCAGGGAAACACACAGGGAGGGTCAGAAACCCAACTGAGGGCAGGGAAACACACAGGAACACACAGGGACTGTTAAAAACCCATCTGGAACCAAACCAAGGATAGGGGAACACACACACACCCAGGAGAGCTAAAAACACACCTGGAACCAAACTGAGGGCAGGGGAACACACACACTCCACAGGAGAACTAAACACCCACTGAGGGCACACACTCACCCCCATACACACAACAAGAAAGTGAAAATTCCCCATCTGGAGCCAAACTGAAGGCAGGGGAACACACCGACCCCTCAGGAGAGTTAAAAATTCATCTGGAAGCAAACTGAGGGCACACACACACAAACACACAGCAGGAGAGTTAAAATTCCCCATCTGGGGCCAAACTGAGGGCAGAGGAGCACACACACACCCAGGAGAGCTAAAAACCCAGCTGGAACCAAACTGAGGGCACACACACAAACCCACACCAAGAAAGTTAAAATTCCCCATCTGGAGCCAAACTGAGGGCAGGGAAACACACACACTCCACAGGAGAGCTAAAAACCCACGTGGAACCAAACTGAGGGAAGGGGAACACACCCACCCCTCAGGAGAGTTAAAAGTTCATCTGGAGCCAAACTGAGGGTACACACACACACACACACACACAAACACAGCAGGAGAGTTAAAATTCCCCATGTGGAGCCAAACTGAGGGCAGCTGTGGATCTGCTCCCTTTCAGCCACCTGTGACTGGAGTTCCAAGTCCAGCAATGCCCTGAGCAGGGCTGAGGGACACCAGAGCCACCTGCCCCAAGAAATTCCCAGCTGCCTATAAAGTGTGACTCTTTACATGCACCCCTGCAGCCAGACTGCATTTAGGAGGTCAGACTAGTGGAGTGTTAGAAGAGAAAGAGCTTTAAGCTGCTCAGTCCCTTGTCGCAGACATTTTTTCATAGAAATCCTTTCTTTGAGATTTGTCCATCTTCTGGGAAGCAGAGCCCCAGAAGAAGAATGTAAACAATTGTTATCAGCTGCTGTGAAATGTAGCAGGTGTCCCTGTGATTGGCTCATCTTCCATGTGTACCATTAAAGGCCAATCACAGGAGCAGCTCAGGGACAGATTCCCTGGACACAGAACTTTGTTATTCATTCTTTCTATTCTATTCTTGGCATAGCTGCTCTCTGCAACTTCTCTTCTTATTCTTTTTAGTATAGTTATAATGTATTATATATCTTATATCAATAAATCAAGGCTTCTGATCAAGAAACAAGATTCTCGTCCTTCTCTCACCACAGTGACCGTCTAAAGTCGCTGTAATAGTCCCTTCTCTGGCAGACCCCAGCACAACAATGTGCTCTCCTGCAGCTTTCCAGCCTCAGCCCATGAGGAGCAGGTGAAGCCTCTTGAGCTGCAGGAAGTGTTCCTGGAAAAGCTCACTCAGGAGCAACAAGGATCCATTTCAAGGCTGTCCTACTGAACACTCCATTCTTTTCATTTATCTGGCAGAGTATTTCTTGCAGCAGTAAATTAAATAAATGCCCTGACCTTATAAGCCCTCATTCACAGCCAGCAGTGGCTCCAGCAGGATGCTGCACTTCCCTCCCCAGCACAGCCACAGCAGCTTTCCCAACAGGATTCAACTCCTATTTATCATGCAGGCAGCTTGCAGAAAGGGCTGTCTTTCATTAGCTCAGTTAAATAATAATAAATGAGAAAGAAACTTTACTCCTCTCAAGAGAAAATCTGAAATACAACACAGCAGCTTTCAATCTGCCTTCCTCCTCCTGGAGAGTCCTGGTGATCCAACGGAAAGGAGCAGCAGGGAAAAATCTACAGCTAATCCCTGACTGGCTGTACAGGTGGAAGATTAAATGACATGGAAAATGCTGTTGATTCTACCCATTCTTCAAATGAGAGAGACTTCAGGAGATTCACAAATTCAGGAGAGCAAGTTATATTTGGCTTTTCCTAAGGCAAACAGACTCTTCCTAAAACATACAAGGTTTCTGTTTTTTCTGGAATTTGACACAACCCAATCTTTTCCATCTGAGATACCTCTATGAAACTCCACTTAATACTGATCCTGCCAGCCCTGCTCCTGCTTTCCTCTGTACAAATCCCCACAAAGGCTCCTGGAGGCTCTCACACACTGGTGTGAACCTGAGGCAAAGCCACTGCCTGGAACCAATCTCAGCTCAATTTATTAGAAGACTTTACATTCAATTCCTGCTTAAGCTAAAAATAGTGTGGGCCCATCTAAGCACACAGAGCTGCTATTTATTTTGTGAAATGGCTTTACAGTGCTGCATTAAAGTCTAGGTCTTTCATAAAAATAGGTTCTCTGGCCTTCTCAGACACAACATGGGAGTTTTTCTTTAAACTTTTCCTGATCATGTCTGCCACTAACAGTGACAAAGAGGGAAATGGGTGTAAGAGTGACCAGCAGAGCAGCAGTGGGATCAGTGCATCCCACACACTCCTGACAGCCCAGGGTGGGCTCTCTATGCTGCTCAGGAGAACAAGGCTCTTGATGAAACAGCTCATTGACACCAGGCACTGCAATGAAAACTCTCTGCAGCCACCCTGGGATGGCATCCCAAGGGCTCTTTCAAAAATAAACAAAGCTAATCATGCAGCAAAGGAGAGCTCAGACAGCCAGGACTGATCACTGCCACAGCACAGGAATTACAGACGTGCTGGCAGCCTAACAAGGTGCTGATTCCAGGGGTTCCCACCCAGGGATGCTCAAGGGTGCAGGAAGATGCAAAATGGTGGGTGAAGGGTCTGGAGCCCCAGGAGAGGCTGAGGGAGCTGGGCAGGGGCTCAGCCTGGAGCAAAGGAGGCTCAGGGGGCCCTTGTGGCTCTGCACAGCTCCTGACAGGAGGGGACAGCCGGGGGGGTCGGGCTGTGCTCCAGGGAACAGGGACAGGAGCAGAGGGAACGGCCTCAGGCTGGGCCAGGGCAGCTCAGGGTGGATTTGGAGGAAATTCCTTCCTGGAATTTGCTGTCCAGCCCTGGCACAGCTGCCCAGGGCAGGGTGGAGTCCCCACCCCTGGAGGGGTTTAACAGCCCTGTGCAGGTGGCACTTGGGGACATGAAGGAGTGGAGGCCTTGGCAGTGTGGGGGGATGGCTGGGCTCGATGGCCTCAGAGGGCTTTTCCACCCTCAGTGATTCTGTGATCAATATTGCTCCCCAAATACACAACCCTAGAGACTCCTGAGCTCCAGAGGGACCTGCCAAGGACAGCTGAACCACACTCACCCTGAAGGGGCTGCAGTTTATTCTCCAGGGCTCTGCTGGGAATGTTTTTAAGTCTGGAAACTGCTTGAAAAGCTACTGGGTTCCAGCTCCTCCAGGAGCCATGTGCAGGGCTGGGAGGGGGCTGTGTCACACAGGTGCACTCACACCCATGGGTGTTCACAGCCACACCCACACACACCCCACAGAGCAGGGAAATCATTGAACAGTGAAATCATGAACACCTCACCATGGAAATGTGATCTGATAAATGCTGAGAGCCAGAGGAGCCCTGTGACAACCCAGCCCCAGCACAGGGGGCTCAAACAGCCTCATGTGCCTGCTCAGGTGGGGCAGTGGCTGTGCTACCCCTGCTCCACAGCCTCACACCAGGGATACAACCTTCCCACTCTTCCTCACGTGGATTTCAGGGGGCAGAAGATGTCTTAGCAGAGAGCAGAACAACAGGAAAAGCCAGAAAAGGATGTTCCCAGCTCTGTGCCACAACTCTATTCTCACTCTTTGCAGAGGAATTTTAATAGCTGGAAATGCAAGGTTATAGCTTGAAATTGGGTTTGTGCAAATAATAGCACATTTTAAAATGTAATTTCATCAGGAAATTGGAATACCTGAGCAAGTCTCTAGCTTTGTTGTTATTTATGAAATGAGAAAAGGAAACAGAACATACCTTTGTCCAACGGCAGAGCTTCACCCCAGAATGGCTCCCAATGAGTTTATAACCTGAAAACAAAGCACAAATCATCAAACAACTGAGGTTAGCCTGCAGGAATTGACGCATAAAATATACCAAGGGGTACCCAGAGGGACTGACACTGTGGACTCAATGCTGCTGTTCCCCACTGGCCCAAGGTGACACCACCAGCAATGGCAGTGCCACCCCAGGGACCTCAGCCCACTGCAAATGGTTTCTTTCAGTGGGACGTGGATTGGCACGGCTGAGGCTGGTTTGAATCAGGTGCACGGACAGGATGGCAGAGCCTGGCTAAGCCAGGGACAGGTGACAGACCAAGGAGCAGGACAGGGAGCCAGGAGCATCTCCCTGGCCCCAGGCCATGAGCCCAGAACAGCCAGGATCGCTGTCCCAGCCTGCAGGACAGGAGCTGATCCCAGAGCAGCTGGGAGGGGAACACAGCCAGGGCTCAGCCTGAGCCTCACCAGCTCCACGGGGAGGGAGCTGCTCCTCCACACCCAAAGGGAAGCTGAGCTCAGATCAGCTCCTCAGTCCCCAGCCAAGATCAACACAATTCTACTCCAATGAGCCCTGGAGGATTAATTGCACAACGTTTGTTAAGCACTAAGTGCTATTATTACCCAAACTGCTCGAGTGGGGTTATATTCCTCTTTGAGAAAAGTGCTTAGAGGCCAATATGTCTGAAGGATTAAAAGTCCCTTCAAAATCAGCATAAAAATAAGAGGGATTTGAGGCACCTCGCTGTGTCCCTCACAGTGGCATTCACATGTCACTGGCCTGGCTGTCCCCAGACTCAGCACCTCCCAGCTGCCTACTGCACCTTCCTGCTGCTCTTATTAACACTTTCAAGGCAAGGAAAAATATCATATTTTAGCTGTCAAATCTTCTTCCTGCCAACCAGCACAAACTCAACAGGGAAAAAGCCTTCAGCTCACAAACTGGCCTTCAGCTCCTGCACAGCAGCACCAGTGCCCTGCCCTGCTGCTCTGTCCCTGAGCTGCTGTGGCACAGCCAGGTCCCAAAGCAAGCTGAGAGCATCCCAAAGTCCCTGACACCTGCAAGGACATCGAGCCAGCCAGGAACTGCAGGAGCAGCAGATGCCACAGCAGCTGCAGCAGGCAGAAATTAAATGTGTGCACACAGACAGGGCTAACAGGGAACCAAACCATGCTCTGCTCCTGCCACTCAAAGCCAGCTGGAGCTGCCCAGGCTCCTCTGCCCACTCCACTGGTGGGGTTTGATCCAGCTTCTCACACTGGAACACACAGGCAGAGTGACCTCTGCAGCAAGAAGGCTGGAGAGGGACTGGGGACAAGGGATGGAGGGACAGGACACAGGGAATGGCTCCCAGTGCCAGAGGGCAGGGATAGAGGGGACATTGGGAATTGGGAATTGCTCCCTGTGAGGGTGGGCAGGCCCTGGCACAGGGTGCCCAGAGCAGCTGGGGCTGCCCCTGGATCCCTGGCAGTGCCCAAGGCCAGGCTGGACACTGGGACAGTGGGAGGTGTCCCTGCCCTGTCCCCTTAAGGTCCCTTCCAGCCCAAACCACTCTGGGATTCTGTGACAGCCCGTCCCCAAAGCCACGTGCAGCCCTGGGGACACCCTCACCTCACACTGGCTCACACTCAGAGGAGGCTGGTGCAGGGTGCAGGGCACAGCCACACACACAGAGCTGCACGTGGCTGGGACCCAACACCTCCCTGCCCTGCTCTGTCCCGCCTGTTTCAGCAGCTTTCCTCTGCAAACAGCTTGTGCAGCAAGGTCTAATCTCAGCTGAGACCTCCCTGCTAAAATGTGTGTCCTTACAGGATTTGTGGATGAGAGCTGAAAAGGTGCTGCACTCCTGCCTCTGACACAGCTGTCCAAGGCACACTCTGCTGCTGTCACCCAGCATAGTCCAAGCCTTATTTTTCCCATTTCTCCAAATCCAGCACCACCAGTCATAGAAGATTATTCTCTCACAGATCACTTGTCAGTAACAGCAACATGGCTGCTTTCAAATGGGTTTTGCAGAAAAATTACATTGGAAATAGGACATGCCCACCCAGGTCTGCTACTGAGCTGTTTGAGGGAAGAGAGGAAGCAGCAGAACTGAGCAAGGTGCCAAGCTCCAGAGCTCCAGCATTTTCTCTTAGGCTCCTTAAATCAACTTCCACCATGTGGAGCACCCACAGCTCCTTTAAAAGCCAAGAAAATTGTACATATTCAACATCAAAACAGTCTTACAAACACCAGCCAGCTTTGGGGATGAGAGGGGGGTTACTCATCTCTGTCACTGCCAGCAGTCCCAGCTGTGGTGACAGGAGGGAGCAGCAGAGATGTGCAGAACCCTAAAGGCACAGAACTGGGGTCCCACAGAACCCTGTGGGAACTGGGAGAAGGTGTGGTCACCCAGCACTAGGTGCTGGCCATGCCAAGCTTCTGATACTTGGGAATGAGAGAAAATACCAGAGACCAAGGGTGGACACTTGTCCCACCCCTGCTGCCAGTGAGCAGAGACTCTACAGCACTGCAGAGACTTTTTCAGCACTGGCTGCACTGCTGGGAAGGAGGCAGCAGAGCAGTCTGGGCCAAAAGAAAGGACAAAAAATTGAGCAAGAAACTGGGAGTGTTCCAGAATCACAAAACTGTTCTGGCTGGGAAACCCCACTGAGACCACTGAGCCCAACTGTTCCCCCCACTGCCCCATGTCCCCAAGTGCCACATGCACAGAGCTGTTAAACCCCTCCAGGGGTGGGGACCTGGGCAGCCCCTGCCAGGACTGGACAATCCTTTCAGTGAGAAATTTCCCC